AATGTTCCTTCAGTGGATAAAGAGGTAATGAAATGTGGGAAGTTTTTCAGCCTTAAGCCAACAGCCAGCTAACATGGATGAATCTTCCATTGTGGAATTTGTAGGCAGCGTTTGAATTGTGCTGTCTTGATTCCTGGACACTTGGATTCCTGGATACTTGTGTCTTGATTCCTTGATTGCCCTAAACCTTGACTTTTTCCAAAAGTAAATTCTTTAAAGTGTTACTGGTCACTTTCAAAGTTCTAGCCAGTTACTCAAATAACCAGTTGTCTTAGAATGTTACTTTTTAACTTTTATAGTAAAAATTAGTGAAGATTTGTAGTAGATGGTTTAACAAATCTGTAATTAGAAACCATGTTTTTTATGTTTTCAAATAATTGTATGAATTTTATTTGTAGAATGTTGCTAAATTCCCCTTATTTTCATATGTTCAAACCTAATCTCTGTGGTGATTATATTAGGAGCATGGGACCTTTTGGGGGGCGGGTCGGTGGAGGGGTGATAAAGTCATAAGGACAGAACCCTCATGCCTTTATACAAAAAAAAAAAAAAGACTTGGAAAATTCTCTTGTCACTTTATGCATTGTGAGGATACAAATGGGAATAGGCCTGCTGGTATCCCAATTTCTGACTTTCAGAACTGTTAAGAAATAGAATTCTGTTTTTAATCTACCCATTTTGATTTTGTTTTGTTTTTAGCAGCCCAAACACACTACAGTGGTTACAAATAAATCATCAGACTTACTTTCTCCCCCAAATTCATAGGTTACAGGGTTCAGAAGTATTTCCCATCTTTTTGTTTTGTAGGAAGAAATTCAGAAGAAAAGAACCCGCCGTGCAGTCAAATTCCAGAGGGCCATCACTGGTGCATCACTTGCCGATATCATGGCCAAGAGGAATCAGAAGCCTGAAGTTAGAAAGGCTCAACGAGAACAAGCTATCAGGTAAGAAAACCTTTATTATGAGAATTTCAGCTATTGGGATGGATTTTAGATTATATTTGGGTTTATCACCCAAGAATTTTTTTGTGTGTTTTGATATTTGTGTCTATAAAGGAAGTATCAATCCTAAATGTTTGCATTTAATAACATAAAACTTTATAATGGTTGAAATTCTATGTGTTTAAAGCTAATGTACAGTGTCTAATATGAAAGTTTAGCTATTTTGGCTAAAGAAATTTATTGATAATCCGGATTTCTCCTACAAGTAATTAAAGATGGGGAAAGAATATAATCATTCGACTTTTCTAAAACATACTAGCTCCTTGTTAATAAGCTCTGCCCTTGTTATTTTTAACTACACAGGGCTGCCAAGGAAGCAAAGAAGGCTAAGCAAGCATCTAAAAAGACAGCAATGGCTGCTGCTAAGGTAATTTTGAGACTTTCTTGGATATATGAGAACAGATTTTTACTTTAAATAGCAATAAGTGAAAGTTTCTTTTTTTTTTTTTTTAATTTATTTATGCATACAAGAACTGGGGTACAGGCCAGAGGTGCGGGGGGTGAGAGAATTCACCAGAGACAGAGTGGGGAACAGAACAGGCAGATCAACTGAAATACACTGCTGAGGGGAGCAGTGGGTGAGTCACGAGAGGTCTGCTGTGCCATGTGGGTATCTCCCTGGCTGGGGATGGAACTTGTGCTGCAGTGGCTGGCTTCACTGGTTGCGTTTTAACCCCTTGCACCACCAGGGAGGCCCGAAAGTTTCGTGTTTTTAAGAAATTGTAGTACAAGAGTAATGGAAATGATGTTCATAACTGGTTTCTGGGAGTGGTTCAGGTCTCCAGAGGGCTCCCTCTGCCAAGCCCAACAGGTCTATTCCAAAACAGAAATTGGAAGCGGGGAAAATAAGGGTGACTTTTTTGCCCTTTTTTTTTCCACCCCCATTGTTACTAGTTTATAACTAAAGCAAATTTTTCAGACTCAGAATATTAACATTGGTCCTGTACTATGTAACAAAATTTTTTTTTTCCATTCATGTAGTTAAGGATCCATAAGGGGTTGGTGATCCATTGCATGGAGTAATGCCACATAACATCATTTATCTTTTATAGGCTCCCACAAAGGCAGCACCTAAGCAAAAGATTGTGAAGCCTGTGAAAGTTTCTGCACCCCGAGTTGGTGGAAAACGCTAAGTTGACAAGATTGGAATTTTAAAATAAACAGATATCTGTCTATAACTAGATTGTGGTGGATTTTTTATTTTTTTTAGGATTTATTTTTGTTTATGCATACAAGACCAGAGATGCAGGGGCGGGAAAATTCATCAGAGCCCATGAACGGGCAGATGTACTGAAATACACTGCTGAGGGGAGCAGCAGGCAAGACAGGTCTGCTGTGCCACTGGGCTAGCTCCCTGGCTGGGGATCTAACTCATGTTGCAGTGGCTGGCAATAGCTTGATAGTGCTGAGACTTAACCCATTATGCCATCAGGGAGGCCCCAGTGGTGGGTTTTTTTTTTTTTTTTTTTTTTAAGAGCTCATTGCAAGCCTGAGTAGTTAAACAAAATGTAAGTTCTTTACAGTTCTAGCTTCGCCCAGCTAAGGGTTAAGAGCACATTATATAGGCCATACTCTTAGGGTTTTGACTCGATGGCTCTAAGTATGAGGATGTTGCACAGAAAATGTTGTCCAGATTGAGGACAAAAAGATGCATTTTTTGTTGTTTCTGTGCAGAAAGTAAATCTTTCTATGAATTATTGTTAAATTTCCTTTTTTATAACACATTTTATATTGACTTGTCTTTCAGTAAAATGGTCCATTTTTATCATTAGCTGATAGCTGTGTAAAAGGTTAAACTATCAGCTGTTCTTGCTTCCAGGTAATAACCAGAGTCTTACTACTTGAGTAAGAATAGATAGCATTCCAAAATTAGTGTTGTTGAGCTGGAAATTTGATAGAATCACAATGAAAATTGCAATGATGTATAAGCCTGCTGATACATATAAAATGTAAAGGATATGATAAACATAATTTATGTTAAATAGATTATCTTGAGTACCACACTGTTGAGTTGTAAGGATAAAGTGAATGATCCACGTCCTTTTCTTGAGAACGCTTTTTCACATAGGAATATTAGGGAAAGTCAATGAAACTCTTAAAGACCTTATTCTATTTAAGGTGAAGGAACTAATGGTTCTTTCTAGTGTATGCTAAATTCAGAATTGGACTTGAAAACAAAGGATGTGTGAACAATTTAGAAATATATTTTGCTGTGCTGGAAGAACGGGATAACAATATGTAACTAATAAAAAGGTGAATATTATTTAGCTGTGAATAGGGAAAGCTTAAGTAACCTAATTACCTACCTAATGCTGAACTATGAATTCTAATTTTTGTACCTGGAATAAAGTGTCCTTTAAAAGCACTGCTTTTCTGATAATGTATTAAAAGTGAATCTGCTAATTCTGATTGCCCTTGATAACTGGGAACCTGTATCTCTTAAAGGACCTAGAAATAAACTGAGTACAGCAATTTTACAATTGGATCATCTGAAAAAAGCATTTTACTAGTTAGTGGTTTTGTATATTGACCCAAAGACAACAAAAGTGAATTCGAAATGTAATGAGCGCAATACTGTGTTTTCTTAGAAACTGGGGGGTTAAGGGAGGGAGTTTTTTTTCTTGGGTATTTTTGCTAATTACACAACTTGTTTAGTTAAACTTATTCAAGTTTATTTAAGTTTACATATTTTGGAATGCTTAGTTTCATAGGCAATTTCACAGTGGAAGTGTGAAGTGGTTCTGTCCCAGCGAAAAACAGCCACTTGCAGGATGGAGTTGCACATCTTCTGGACTCCATGCCATGCCATGGGGTGGGGGTTGCATCTCTACCCTCTAGTCCTCTTGCTTCCACCTATAGTTGTCTAGTTTTCGGATTGTGTGAATTGAACTAAGTCCTAGGTTTTTTCGAGTCTAGAATTCATGTACTTATAACTGGATTTTTTTTTTGGATGGTGCTCTCACCTGAGAATTTTCTGCAACCTCTATATCCAAGAACCATGGAGATTGGGCGCATCCTTATTTGAGCTCTGCCTTTATCTGTTGTCTGCCCATCATGTTTTCGCAGATTCATTTGCCTCAGTCAGGGAATCACAATCTCCAGAGCTAGGAGTTAAAGGGGTTGGCATAAGGTTTCACACCCTTCGCACCCTGGTTAAGCACTGCTAGTTCCAGCCCAAATTGCCTGGGAGTATGGTTGGTAGTGTTGCAGATTCAGCTCAGGGGATAGGTGACCAGGGCCACCACCCTCGACAACAATGGTGAATAGGATCCACATTGCACACTGGGAAAAGCAGTTCAAGTGGCCTCGGCTTTTTCTGCACTCAGTAAAATGGATACTTTTCTTTCGTAACTATGTAAAAATAAAAATGAAGCTTGTATGAAGATCGTGCTATTTCCCCACCCCCACCCCTCTTTCCAACGTGATCGCCTTATGCAGAAAACCGCGGTAATACCGATGGTACCAGAAAAGTCGTGACTATTCCAAGGGTGGTTTGGAGCCAGCAGTTGAAGCTTAGAAGTTACAATTACACCTAGAATCAAGAGGCTTACATTTTATAATCTTGTTTACTGGAACCTACATTTCCACCTGAATGGGATTTTTTTGGCCTTGTGTCCATATGCTAATGTTTTAGTGGGCGCCCCAAAGTGTCTTAATGTTTTCGGAGGTCGCAGGCGGTAGACGGAAAAAGATTCCACATCTCAGTGTTTCTAAGACAGGCTAACAACTGGCCCATGGACTCTTAACACGTGCTTAGACTGTGGGAAAGAAGGGTAAAAGAAAAAAAAAAGGAACCTGCCAGGACTTAACATGTCTGCTCAAGCCGCTTCGTTCTCCCAGGAAGGGCAGACCCATTTCCAAAATGTCCGCCCTCAGCCCTGACGTCATTCGGTAGGCTTCATCAAGCCAGAAAACCAATGCGCTCCAATCAGGGCCCAGTTCCCTCACCACTGCCCTTGATCGCGTCACTTCCGGTGGTGCAGCAGCCATTTTGTCAGTCGCCAGCGGATCCCGCGCGCTGGGGAAGTGCAGTTCCCCCTGGTTACCGACTCGTCCGTTCTCCCTCCGTGCGGCCGGCGCCGTCGAAGGGCGCTCACCGCGGGCGCCGCCGTTCTTCTCTACAGTGCAAGCGCCGCTGTGGCATCCACCCGGAGCCAGCGCGCTGTCTTCCTCACCCCCACTACAGACGCCTTCGCCGTCAACGATGTCAAGCGAGGAAAGCTACCGAGCCATCCTGCGCTACCTGACGAACGAGCGCGAGCCGTATGCGCCCGGCACGGAGGGCAATGTCAAGCGTAAAATCCGCAAGGCGGCCGCCTGCTACGTGGTGCGCGGCGGGACCTTATATTACCAAAGGCGGCAGCGGCACCGCAAGACCTTCGCGGAGCTGGAGGTGGTGCTGCAGCCCGAGCGGCGCCGGGGGCTCATCGAGGCGGCGCACCTGGGCCCGGGCGGCACTCACCACACCCGGCATCAGACCTGGCACGACCTGTCCAAGACGTACTGGTGGCGAGGTAGGGCCTCGACCGCGGCGAGGCGGGGGGCCGGCGGCCTGTGGTCCCCCCGAGACCCGCTGGCGGAGGCCGAGGCGGGCCTGCGGGCGCTCCCCCAAGTTCGCGGGCCCGCGGCCTCTCCCCGAACGCTCCTCGCCCGCCCGGCTGGCGTTCGGCGGCGGAGCTGCTGCCAGGCGGAGCCGAGAAGGTGGGGGACGCGAAAGGAGCCGCACTTCCCGCTGGAAGTAGGCCGGGGCGCCGGGGGCGGGCCCTGCGCCGGGGTGGGGCGAAAGGGGCTTCCCCGGGGGCCGGGCCTGCCGCGGGGCGGGGCGGGGCGCGCGGTGGCGGCCGCTCGGCTCCCGGGGAGCTTCCGGGCGGCGGGCGGGGTGGGCGCGGCGCGCTGCGCCTTTAAAAACCCGTTCGCGCCGGCGGTTGGGGGGAGGGGCGGCGCGCCCGCCGGGCCCGGGGCTGTTGGCGCGGGGCGTTCGCGGCGCGTGTGGGGGGCTCGGCGCCGCATGGCCGGGCAGCCTCAAATGGTGCTGCTGCGGCGGGAAGACGGAATAATGCGATTCCGTGGCGACTGGGCGCCTGTGTGGAGCCGTCACCCGGAACCTGGTTGTGGGGACGAGAACTGAGCGTAGAGTTGCGGAGCCTCTTGCTTCGGGATTGAATCTTCCCTCTTGAGCCTGTGGAAAGCGCTGGGGAAACTGTGAATGGGGGCTCGGTAGACCCCGGGACAGCCTGGTTACCGCGACTCCTTAGAGTCAGGAAATGCAGGTCTGCGTTTTTTGACTGCTCCGGAACCAGGTTAGGGGAGGAGAGCCGGGGTCCTTAGCCTTACGGCCATCACGCTCAGACAGTTCAGTTAGAATTAGTAAAAATTTGAGGTTTTGCCCGGAAGGATCTGCCTCTCTGTTTGGCTCTGGAGGAAGTAATTTTTTTAAATTAAAAGTTATTTATTTGTGCATGCTTTAAAAAAATTATTTATTTATGCATACAAGAGCTGGGGTACAGGCCAGAGGCGTGGGAGGGTGAGAGGATTCATCAGAGACAGAGCGGGGAGCAGAGCAGGCAGAGTGAAATACACTGAGTGAAATACACTGCTGAGGGGAACAGCAGGCGAGTCAGGAGAAGTCTGCTGTGCCATGTGGGTAGCTCCCTGGCCAGGGATCGAACTTGTGCTGCAGTGTGGAGGAAGTAATTTTTGAATCTCAGTTACATACCTGTGAGTAAAGGAATTACACTACTGAGTAGTTTCTTAGGTTCTTTTCAGTTTATAAACATTATCATCAGTTCTAGTCATTGACAGACTATTGGGCACTCCTTCCTTAAGGAGTCTTTTCTTTCGTGTTTTCGAAAACAGACCAGCTCGATATTCTTACGTGCTTTCCCTTGATCTATTTTATAGTAATCTGAATTAAATTCTAATAAAGAGGCAACTGTGAAGGATAAAAAGTGAGGAGTAATTGCTATATTTTGCTAGTATTGGTTTGGTCACACGTTTTGTAAATGTCTCAGGCTTAGTACATTATGTTAAAGATTATAACTACAGCTAAAGATGACATTGACCAAGCAATATCTGAAAGCACTAAGAGGTTAAATATGTGAAAGCTTGTGATTTCACAAAAGCCAGTATTTTAAGGTCCTGTATATAGTTTATTTATTTTTAAAAAAGACTTATTTATTTACACAAGCACTGGGTACAGTCAGAAGCTCTGGAAGGTGAGAGAATTCACCAGAGCCAGAGCAGGGAACAGAACAGGCAGACTGACGAAATACACTGCTGAGGGGAGCAGCGGGCGCAGCAGGAGAGGTCTGTCGGGCCATGTGGAACCCTCACTAGCGGCTGGGGATCGAACCCGCGCTGCAGAGGCCGCGGGCAGCTTTGCAGCCCAGCGCTCAATCGTTGCGCCACCAAGGGAGACCCCTGTATATAGTTTAGTGTTAAGAATTTTCCTTTTTCCTAAATTGATTATCTATTGCGATAATATGTAATCTAGCTTGATTTTTTTCTTTTCAGTGTTCATTGTCTTAGGGGGAAAACACTGATACCATGTTTATTAAGTTAGATTAATTAAAATATGAAAGAGATAACATTTCTACTAAGAGGGATTTCAAAGTCTTTAAACACGAGAACAGCTCTTCTAATGTACTGAACCTCTGGACAGCAAGGCCCTGAGATCCTTCATAATAATGCTGTGGCTTTATTTGCCTTTTTCATTCATGTCTCACAAGTAGACATTGCGTTGTCCAGAGATTACGTGTGAAATACAGCGATAGATTGAAAGCAGAAGAATACATGATCATCTGTTTTCTATTAAGTTACACATTAAAAAGATTTGCAAAAATGTAAATTAGTGCTTCTGTTTAATTTTTGTTTTTGAAAACAAAACAAGCAATGGCATAACAAATGCTAGGTGTGTTGACTTGTAATGAGTTTATTATTTGCTCATTTTTTATTTTAATACTTCATTTGAATTGCAATTTGTAGTCAATAATTATCAGCAGTTTGCCCTCCATTATTAGCTATTCCTTTTTTTTTTTTTTAAAGATTTATTGATTTATGCACACAAAGAGCTGGGGCGCAGGCCAGATATGCAGGGGGTGAGAGGATTCACCAGAGACAGAGTGGGGAACAGAACAGGCAGATACACTAAAGTACACTGCTGAGGGGAGCTGCAGGGGAGACAGGAGAGGTCTGCTGCACCATGTGGGCTGCTCCCTGGCTGTCTGGGGATGGAACCCGCCCTGCAGAGGCTGTGGGTTACTTCACAGTGTGGAGCTTTACTCCTTATGCCACCAGGGAGGCCCTTAGCTATTCTTTTTGATGTCCATTTATGTTTATTGTAGACTTACTAAAAATATCACAAATACATGGAAAAATAAGTCACAATTAATGCAGTATTAGAACTGAAGGAATTTCCAGTAGTGAAGTCCTTTATCATTTGTTTCACAATTTTAAGAACTTTCGAAAATCCAACTTATTTAGCAACTTCAGAGTAAGAATGGTTAAGCTAATTGACTGGTTATGTGGGTAATATTTAATAATGGTACTGGTAATAATTGATAAACATGTCAGCTATCAGTTTTTAATGTGTCATGCACTACAGTTGGGCTCTCCACATATACATAGTCCAAATCCATGTGAACTTTTTTAATCTAGGATCTGATAGGGATCAGTGTAGATGCCAAGAAAAGACTAATTTCACTGACTCTTTTCCCCTTTTTCCCACTTTAGTTAGGTTTATGCCCTGGCATATTTGCCAAGGGACAGTGCTTCAAAGTCAATCCACTAGACGTTTCAGTAGGTATATTTTACTTGGTTTTATTACTGCTTTTTCTGGAATGCTGCCATTATAAGCTGTGTTCCATTGCTCAGGCAAGTTTGTAGCAACTTCCCTTGTTTGAACACATTGGAAAAACTCTGACTTAGTGCCTAAAGTTTAAGTACACCAAATTTATTTTAGATTGTAAAATGTTAATATTCTCATTGTTAATAGATGTTCTCACTCAGACTCTCCTCATTTTATCCTGTGATGTTAATAAGTGCTAGAGCTCTAAAATAATAATCTCTGCTTCTGTCACATATTGATGTATGGCGATCTACACTTAACTGCTTTGCTTTCAAAATGTGAAGATAAAATTAAGATTAAACTAGCAAAGATTAAACTAGCAAAACCATGTAATAGGCTAAATAGCTTGTGTGCAGAATTTCCTAGCCTAATAAGGGTTTTGTTTTTGTTTAGATGATGAATGTAAATTAATGGTGTTATCTAATCTAGAAGAGGAATGTGTGATGTCTAGAAAATCCATCAAGAACTTGGTTTATGTAAATAAAGCTATAATTAACTACTTGTAACCCCTTTGAACAAAACAACAAAAAACCAAGTGACTAATATGCATGGAACTTAAATAAGAGCCACTGACACCACCACCTCACCCACCCATCCCACACTTTCACACCCCACTACTGTAGCTAGCACTGATTGGGGAGGGAGGTTCTTGAACAGCTGACAGAAGCAAATTGTTAAATGGCATATCTCTAAAGCACCAGTTCTTAGCTAGGAGGATTTTCCCTCCCAGGGAACATTTGCTATATCTGGAGACAATTTTGTTTGTCATAAATGGTCCTGGTGTTGCTATTGACATCTAGTTGGGCAGAGATGTTCCTAAACTTTATACACGCATAAGACAGCTGGATTCCCCTGCCTCCCACCCCCAACAAGAATCGTTTGACCTCGTAATTCTTTACTGCTGAGATTGAGAAAAACCCTCTATAGAATGAGGAACAGTCCCTCAAGTTCTTTAATAGAGGACTCTCCACTAAGGGCATTTTCTTTTGTTTGGAGGCTATGCTCAGTAAAGAATCTTTTAATGATAACATGGTGTTTTTGCAAGGATTTTTTTTGGGGGGGGTTATCAGAGGGGTTGACAAATAAATATTCAACATAATGAAAGTTATTGTATGTCAACACTGTTCAAAGTGTGTTATAAGATTAACATTTAAGCCTCATAACAGCCCCGTGTAAGTACAGTAGTTCTCCCTTACCTGTGTACCTTCCAGGACTCCCTGTGGATGCCTGAAATCTGGGATGCTACCAAATCCTCTATGTACTCCTTTTTTACCTATACCATAATGCTTAATTTATAAATTAAACAGAAGTCAGCAATAACTAATGATAAAGCAGAACAGTTATAACAATATGCTGTGGTAAAAAAAAAGTTGTCGATATGTTACCTCACCTCGCTCTCAAAATATCTTATTGTATACTATATTTTCATAATTTGGGTAACAGAAACCAAGGAATGAGAAACTGTGGATGAGGAGGAACTACCGTACTATTATCCCCATATTACATATAGGCACAGAGAGGTTCAGTGATATAGTGACTGAGAGGTTCAGATTTTGCTACATCCTTTTAACCTCTTGCAGTAATTTCTCATTCTCAACATAGTTAACTATATTTACACATTGATGTGTTTTGAGTAGTTAACTTGAATCAGATTCTTTCAGTTTAATCATCTCTTGGTGAATTAAGGAGGTTAAGATAGTGAATCTTTAAGAGTATGTCTAAAATGATTCATGGTTTCCAAAAATGAGACAGTTTTGATTGTAATCCTATTCAGGTCGCATATTGGTTCCATTTGTATTTTTTCATTTTTAACTCAGACTAAAGAGTAGAGTCCACCTGGGACATGCTGTGCTAAAAGGTTACAAGACCAGAAAACTGGTAGGATACACTCAGTTGCCCTTAAATTTCCATTGCAACATGGCACACAACATATTGGTCAAATCTAATTGATGAGGGCCTCCCCTGGTGGTGCAGGCGGTTGAGCGCAGCACTGTGAAGCTGTCCGCAGCCTCTGCAGCGCTGTTTCGATCCCGGCCAGCAGCTAGCAAGGGTCCAACATGGCATGGCAGACCTCTCACGCTGCTCCCCTCAGCAGTGTATTTCGTCAGTCTGCATGTTCTGTTCCCCACTGTGTCTCTGGTGAATCCTCTCACCCTCCCGCACCTCTGGCCTGTACCCAGGTTCTTGTATAAAATAAATAAATAAATCTTTAAAAAAAAAAAAAAAGAAGCTGCCTGTATCTAAATACTTTAAAAAAAAAAAACTAATTGATAATAGGGTGGAGAAAGGTATTAGCTTGAACCACGTCATATTACTGCTTGTGAAAATTAAAAATAATTGAATATTATTAATTTCATGTTTTCCTCATTGAATGAAGGAGCTGCAACTCAGTGGAAATGGGTGGGCTACATAATGTTTTTATATTCAAAAGAATACTTTTCTTCTAAAAGGAAAGAAGAGTAAAGGACACTTGCATAGATACAAGTAGGCAGAAAGACCTGCTACATAATCATTTTATATGATAAAGTAAATAATATAATCTATTAAATTTTCAAATAAGATCACTATTAAACTTAATTTTTATTTTCATTGTAGGCATATTAAGGCAAGTCAAAGATTACATTAAACAGTGTAGCAAATGCCAGGAGAAACTAGATCGCTCCCGTCCAATATCAGACACTTCAGAAATGTTGGAAGAATTGGGTCTAGACCTTGAATCTGGAGAAGAAAGCAATGAATCAGATGATGATCTAAGCAACTTTACTTCTCCTCCTACTACAGCCTCCAAATCTACGAAAAAGAAGCCGGTATCTAAGCATGAACTTGTATTTGTAAGTAGGAATTTTGTTCAGCTTTAATATTTGCAACTAATGATTACTAATATTTGTAGTCTTTTTGAACTTTTTTCTTAAACCACCAAAACTATTTGACTGTTGACACTGACATTGAAGATTTAAGCAGGTCTATGTCTGAAGTAATGATTTGATTGTTATACATACTATAACTGTTGATTCTGAGTATTCTGTTTTGTCTCCTCTTAGGAATAAAACTTGTTAGTTTATCACTTCTTCCTTTTCAATAGTGTATTAGCATAACTAATGCATTTAATATACAAAATGCATATTGATGGTGTATTAGTATAACTAATGCATTTAGTATAACAAAATGAATTTCTGAAAATAGTCTCTGGATCATGGGGCAAAGTAAAATTAAACTCACTTGGTTTTTGGGTTTTGCCTGCATTAGTTTCAAACATCAGATTTCTGGTTAGTAAAGGATAGCAAGAAATGAGATGCAAGTTTTTATTGAGTCAAGTAGAATAAATATATCAGAAAATAATGAGGACATCTGTTTTTATTTAAATAGATAAGTTTTAAAAAAAAATATCAGGATATTCATAATAATTAGTGGTGTCTTAAAAATGAAATAGTGTATCTTGTCTTAAATTCTGTTAAGGGTAGAGGTACAGATTATATGTAATATAACTCTTGGTCTCAAACTCTTTTGTTAGGTTGACACCAAAGGAGTGGTGAAACGTTCTTCTCCAAAACATTGTCAGGCTGTCTTAAAACAGCTGAATGAGCAGAGACTCTCAAACCAGTTCTGTGATGTTACTTTGTTAATTGAAGGAGAAGAGTACAAAGCTCATAAATCTGTTTTGTCAGCTAATAGCGAATATTTTCGAGATCTTTTTATTGAGAAAGGAGCTGTGTCCAGTCATGAAGCAGTGGTGGATCTTTCTGGTAAGAATTGTCTAATATTCTTGTTATAATTACATACTAGAGGGTTGTCCATCCATCTTAGAAACTCAGCTTTCTTACTGAAGTGGAAGAAACTCACTTACAGCAGCAGTCTAAGCTAAACCAAAAAGGTCTTCATTTAGCAAGGTTTCCAAGAACTTGAAGTCATTAATATTGTAAAAGTGTGCATTTCATTTGATTAAGATATTCTACAGAGGAGTGTGTGTGTGTGTGTGTGTGTGTAAAATGACTGGGGTAAAAACAAAATACTCAAATTACCTATTATCTTCTGGTAGTCGGATTATGAGTGATTTTTCTTTTGTGTTTCATAGTATTTTATAGTAAACAGGTGACTCATTTTTATTTATTTATTTATTTTTAAAGATTGATTGATTTATTTATACAAGCACTGGGTACAGTCAGAATTGCAGGAGGGTGAGAGAATTCACCAGAGCCAGAGCGGGGAACAGAACAGGCAGACTGACGAAATACACTGCTAAGGGGAGCAGCGGGTGGCAGGAGAGGTCTGCGCGCCATGTGGGACCCTCGCTGGCGGCCGGGGATTGAACCAGTGCTGCAGAGGCTGCGGGCAGCTTCTCAGCCCAGTGCTCAACTGCTGCGCCACCAGAGGAGGCCCTGGTGACTCATTTATAAGTAAAGATTTTAGATCGTTAAAGTGATGTTTGGAACAGCGTTAATTCCTTTATGGGAAACTTTTATTATGCCTTCAGTTTAGAAATTTAAAAGATGCTGGGTGTAAAGGATTATTATTTCATATTATTTTGTTGGTAAGTGATTTTTTCCCCCCTAGAAAAAGCCTTATATCTTATAAATCAATGTTACTTCAATAAACATGATTAAAAATAAGTAAATATTCTTACCTCAAGCTTAGCTTGGTCTTCAATTTATAGCAGGATTTATATGGCTTCAGCCTGTTTATCAGCTTTCCTAGGAATGACTGATTAGCCATGATGTTGATTTGTGGTCCCTTTACTTATCACCCTGACTCCTAATGCATACTGCTCTCCTCTACCCCTTATCTGCTTATATGAAAAGACCACATATTACATACCTTGAATCAAAACTGAAAAACACAGAAATAAAAATTTTTAAAAGTTTGCATTGGCTCTCTCTATATATATTAAAAGATCTGTAAGATAAATTATGAGACTAACAAGGCACAGATGATATAGGAGAATAAGAATTGACTATCTAGAAAACTCTGAAAAGCTATACAGATTCTTAGTCATACTGGTTGGGAAAGTTGAGTTGGATTCATCGCTATGTAATCTGCTTTTCAAATCATGTGAACATTAAAAATGGTGTTCTAAAACAAAGTATGAGAACTTAGGAAAAAATTAATCTTATTTTCTGACATAAAATGGGATGTGATATCTTTTGTGTATAGAAATTATTTTGTTCTAGGGTAGACACACTATATCTCAAGAACCATTCCTCCTTTCCCTCTCTTTTTGTAAATAAAGTTATATTGAAATGTAGCCACACCTTCCTGTATATTATTTTTTTTTAAAGATTTATTTTTTATGCATACAAGAGCTGGGGTACAGACCAGAGGTACAGGGCGGTGAGGGGGAGGTGAGAGGATTCACCAGAGACAGAGTGGGGAACAGAACAGGCAGACTGACTGAAATACACTGCTGAGGGGAGCAGCGGTCGAGTCAGGAGAGGTCTGCTGTGCCATGTGGGTTGCTCCCTGACCGGGGATCGAACTTGTGCTGCAGAGGCTGCGGTTAGCTTCATAGGTTGGTCTTAACCCCTTGCACCACCAGGGAGGCCCAGGTATGTTATTCTTTCTGGCAATAATGGCAGAATTGAATAGTTTGCAACAGATTCTTATGGGCTACAATATTTACTACATGATTCTTTACAGAAAAATTTTGCTGGCGCCTCTCTACCTTAGATCTTGGTTTGCAATTTTTTTGTCATAGAACTCCATGTTCACCATCAAATTTTGTATCAGTTCTTATTAAAATATACAGTTATGGTTAGTAAAGTGAGATTAGGGGACAGATTATTTGAACCCTGCCTCCATCTCTTTTGTTATCCTTCATTCTCTACCATCTGTTCCTTGAGTGGAATTTGAGGAACCCTGGGGGTTCTAAGAAGTAGAGTTTGAAAAAGACTGCCTTACACCAACTCATTGAGGTAGTAAGTCTAATATTATTTTCTGTTTTAGGTATAGAGAGACTTGGCTCATAGAAGTGAGTGAGTTATGCTTTAATAAACAGCCAGAACAAAAAGAAAACAAATCCAGGGTGCTTAACTGCAGAATAAATGGTGATATTTGCACTTATATTCTGTTTTATATTGTCATACTCATATGTAATTGTTTTTATAAGGTACTTTATTTTTTTTTAGTGTTTAATTTTTTTTTAATTTAAATTTTATTTTTATATTCCCCATACAATTACAACCCCCTTATAAGGTGTTTTAATAGTGACTGACTTCTTTGCCTACCATCCTTGTTTCATAGGTTTTTGTAAGGCAAGTTTCCTTCCTTTACTGGAATTTGCCTATACTTCTGTGCTAAGTTTCGACTTCTGTAGCATGGCTGATGTAGCAATATTGGCTCGTCATCTTTTCATGTCAGAAGTTTTAGAAATCTGTGAAAGTGTACATAAACTAATGGAAGAGAAGCAACTCACGGTATATAAGAAGGGTGAAGTACAAACAGTCGCATCTACCCAGGACTTACCAGAACAAAATGGAAATACAGCCCCTCCTGTGGCTAGCAATGAGGGAACTACGACTTTATCTCCTGAACTTGGGGACTGTGAAATTGTACTACTAGTAAATGGAGAATTGCCAGAGACTGAGCAGAATGGACAACCAGGACAACAACCTGAGCCCCAGGTTTCTTCAGCAGCTGATGCTACTGTGTCACCTACAGACTGTGTAACTGACTCCCATCCTGAAATGGAGTCTGTTGACTTAATAACAAAAGACAACCAGACAGAACTAGAAACTTCAAACTGCAAAGATAGTACAGTTTCTAATATTCCTTCTAAACTTTCAAAAGAGAATGTAATTGCTAACTCTCCAGAAAACACTGATACGGGAAATGATACATTAGTGGAAGATATCTGTGCTGAAGACATTCCGGAGCATCAGCAGAATGTTAGTGAGACTTTAAAAGATCACGAAAACTTAGTTGCACTGACAGTGAAAACAGACCTGGGACCTGATGACGATACTTACAGAAGTAGGCTTCGGCAGCGTTCTGTTAATGAAGGGGGTTATATCCGATTGCACAAAGGAATGGAGAAGAAGCTGCAGAAACGGAAAGCCATTCCCAAGTCAGCAGTTCAACAGGTATGATGTAAAGAATTGACTTTTGTAGTTTTTTAACTTTAGGTTCAGACATTCCATTTAGAAACTTATGCCTATGATGAAAATTATTTTGGTGGGGAGGGTATAGGTGCAGAAAAGCAACAATGATTTCAGTATTAATTAAATAACGTGAACTTGAATATTTATAACATGAATCATGACTTTACAAATAAATGAGTATGTTTACTTGGTTTGTGTTTTCTATGCCTTAATTAGGTGGCTCAGAAATTAGTTCAAAGAGGAAAAAAGATGAAACAGCCAAATAGAGATGCTAAAGAGAATACTGAAGAGGAAGCATCCCATAAATGTGGGGAATGTGGAATGATTTTTCAGAGACGATATGCCCTCATAATGCACACACTGAAACATGAAAGAGCTAGAGATTACAAATGTCCGGTAAGTCTCTGGAAAGTTAATTGAAGATGGCTCTAATTTCATGATAGAGCCCAATTTAGTGCTTCATTTTTAGTTGTGTTGGGTTTCTGGACCCAGTACTAACAGGTGTGTTTAGATTCCCTTCACCTATGAGCAAATAACAGATAACAGCAGCCAAGACTTCAACTCAGTTCTGACACTCTCTCCCTGGAGATGCTATCAGGTTCCACTGGTTAAGAGTTCAGTATCCAAGACCACCCTCTACTTCAGGTACCTGTAACAGGACTCAAGCAGTTACCCTTGCCTTTGACCAACTGGCTAAAGATTAGAGGTTCCCATGACCATCTCCTCAGACTTTAGGTGTTCATTGCTATCTCAGATTAGTATCTGCTTCTTACCAACTGGCTATAAGTGAGGTTCCCACAACCACTTCCTCATAATCAATTAATTTGCTAGACTAGCATAGAACTCAGGAAATCCATATGTTAACTAGAGAACTGGTTTATTTCAAAGGATACTAAAGAATATCAATCAACAGCCATATGAGAAGGACAAGGTCCTGGGACAAAGGAGCTTCCTTTTCTGTAAAGCTTGGGGTCCTACAAGGCAGCACATGGAACTATTCTGGTTTCCCAACTTAGAAGCTCTCTTGATTTTTTATGGGGCTCCACTACTTAGCTGTGATCAATTAAATCATAGGACACTGGTGATTGGACTCCACTTCTAGACCTTCTCCCCTTTCAGGAAATCAGGGGGTAGAATTTTAAGTCCCTCTGCCTCTGTTCATATTGGTTTCCCTGGCAAACCACCCCCCTTTCAAGGGTGTTTACCAGAAGTTATCTTCATTAATAGACCCTTAACGAGACACCCATCTCAACTTCTATGAAACTCTGAAGCCATCTCAGGAGCTGAGGACATGAGACCAAATATTATGACAAAAGATGCCCCTGGTATCCTTTCACTCAGGAAATTCCAAGGGTATAGTGGAACTGTGAGACAGAAAATACATTGTTCTAATGGCTTAGGAAATTCCAAGTTGGGGGCTGTGAAATTGGAACTGTGGGTGAAGAAGAACAAATAACATATATATGAGAACTATACTCAAGGGAAAAAAGAACTGTAGATTGCAAGGGAGAAAAAGGATGGTCAGTCTCATAGAAAGAATAAGGGTTTTAGGACTTTGAGCAGCAATAGTGGAAGCTAGAAAACAAAGAAAGACCCAATATCTTTAAAGTTCTAAAAGGGGGCCTCCCTGGTGGCGCAAGGGGTTGAGCGCAGTGCTGTGAAGCTATTGGCAGCCTCTGAAACATGAGTTCATTCCCCGGGCAGGGAGCTACCCACATGGCGCAGCAGACCTCTCCTGTCTCACCTGCTGCTCCCCTCAGCAGTGTACTTCAGTCTATCTGCCTGTTCTGTTCCCCTCTCTGTCTCTGGTGAATCCTCTCACCTCCCACACCTCTGGTCTGTACCCCAGTTCTTGTAATCATAAATAAATCTTTTAAAAAATCATTTTAAAAAAGTTAAAAAAAAAATAAAGTTCTGAAAGGAAATGACTTTCAACTTGGAATACATAGCTAGTCAAACTTTCAGTTATTTGTGATGGTATATTAAAAGAGCATTTTCAAACCTGCAGGGTCTTGAGTTTTTTTGTGTTTTTTTTAAAGATTTTTTCAATTTTATGTGTACAAGAACTGGGGTATAGGGTAGAGATTTAGGGGTGGTGAGAGGATTCACCAGAGATAGAGTGGGGAGCATAACAGGCAGATTGACTGAAATACACTGCTGAGGGGAGCAGTAGGCAAGACAGGAGAGGTCTGCTGCGCATGTGGGCTAGCTCCTTGGCTGGAGATTGAACTCATGCTACAGTGGCTGCCTATAGCCTCATTGTGCGGAGACTTAATTCCTTGTGCAATCAGGGAGGCCCACGGGTTTTGAGTTTTATTTCCCTATCTCAGTAAACCTTTGGTAGAGGTATTCCATCATAATAAGACATGGGAAACAAACATGGAGTCCTGTTCTACAGAGTCAAGTATAGGTAACAGACAGCAAGGTTAGAATGAACTTAACTTTGAACAGAGATCTCCCATAAGATTGTTAAATCTCTTGGTAGGTAATTGAAGGAAGGGTTTGGCAATAAATAAATTAGCTGTAAGTACAAAGAGAAATAGCAAAACAGAAAACAAAAAGAAAGGAAGAGAAACTCACAGTATAGTGTATGACCTAGCTGCAGTAACATTTATAGCATCTAAATTGTGTAAACACTGCGTTTGGTCTCATCAAAAGTATGCTTTAACTATATTGAGAAAGTAGAGTAATGGAAAGGAATTATGTAAGTGTAGGGAGTGAAGAAGAGAGTCACCTTCCATTATTTGTTAGTTACAGTTACAAAGATAAGCCTGAAGAGAGTCAGAAAAAAGTGGTGTAGAGTAGTATACCAAGAGACAATTTATTTTTTAAGAAAAAAGTTTTATACATAGCAATCATATGCAACTTAGATTGTTAAAGAAAGAATAAAGCTAATGAATCCCCAGCAACTGCATTATAAAATCCAAGGATCATCAGTTTTATCTTCCCAATTTTCTAGCTCCACCTATTATTAGAACTTACGTAATTATACTATTCTTTTGTTTTTTTGTCTGTGTCCTACCATTCCTCAAGACTCAGCCTCCCTGATGATACCTTTCGTTATTGTTCTGAAAGCTTCCTCTTAAATATTTCTCTTTTTAACATACAAATCCTATTCCTGTGGCTAAATTATATATTTCTCCAGAGTTAAGGGCTGGGTTTTATCCCATTTTTGTCTGTACTTAATATATTGTGTTATATATAGTATATGTGTTTATTGGCAATCCATTACCTTTACCTCTTCGCCACCTCGTCCCATTATATATGTTTATTGGTTTATATAATTGTAGCAACAAGTTAGAGAGTTGAAGTCTGAGTCTTGGGTTTCACTTAATAGTTGTGATGGAAATACAATTTAAAAAAATTCTGGTTTTTTCCTCTAGTTGTGTAAAAAACAGTTTCAGTACAGTGCCTCTTTGCGAGCACACCTCATTCGACATACCAGAAAAGATGCCCCCACTTCATCATCATCCAATTCCACATCTAATGAGGCATCAGGAACATCATCTGAGAAGGGCAGAACCAAACGAGAATTTATATGTTCCATCTGTGGAAGGATATTACCTAAATTATATTCTCTGCGAATACATATGTTAAAGCACACAGGTGTAAAGCCACATGCATGCCAGGTAAAACTTTACATTTATTTTGTTATTTAAAGGATTTTTGAACCTAACTGGTGATGAAATTCCTCACTTTCAAACACTGTTTAAGGAATTCTGTGACTTCACTTTGTTGCCTACTCAAGGGTGCTTCTCAGGTGCGTTCTTTAATTTGCTCTCTGAAGTTATAATTTGAAATAAATTTTTTTAAAGATTTATTTATTTATGCATACAAGAGCTGGGGTATAGGCCAGAGATGCGGTGGGTGAGAAGATTCACCAGAGACAGAGTGGGGAGCAGAACAGGCAGACTGACTGAAATATACTGCTGAGGGGAGCAGGGGGCGAGTCAGGAGAGGTCTTCTGCGCCATGTGGGTAGCTCCCTGGCCGGCCGGGGATCAAACTCGTGATACAGAGGCTATGGATTGCTTCATAGTGCGGTACTTAACCCCTTACGCCACCAGGGAGGCCCCTGAAATGAATCTTTTTTAGAATGTTTGTGAAACTTGATAGATCAGGGAATTGTACTGGATAAGAATAACTACTTCAACAGCTCAATCATCAGTTAACCTTCAGTGGGAGCAAACTGGATGGAAATGATTGTAGGGCTTCGGTAAATATCTTTAGCAGCTTTTTCAAGAACTGAGGACTGAGGGTACCTAAACACCAGAATATGACTCTTGGATAAAGAATCCTGGGATTAGCCAGCTCTTACCTAATTTGGAATAGTGAAATTTTTCTAATGGCACCTGTAGTCTAATGTGTAAGCATGACCAACTATTTTTATTAATAAAAGTGTTGGAACCAATGACATTTCAGTATTTTCTCTCTTTTTCTTTTTTTCTTTTTCTAATATAAGAGAATAGGATAGACCTTCATATATGGTCAGTTGTGTTTTTACCTGTACTGCCATTCACTGCCCTAATACACCTCTCCTGTTATTTATTCTCCCCCCGACCCTCCATCTCTTATATCTTCTTGTCCCTTTTTTTCCCCCTCTCCTTAACTTCACAACCCTCATAGTGTTTATTGATCTCCACTGGTTTGTGTGTTTTTTTTTTTTTTTTTAGATTCTTTTCTATTTATTTATTTTTTAAGATTTCTTTCTTTATTTATACAAGCACTGGGTACAGTCAGAAGAGCGGGAGGGTGAGAGAATTCACCAGAGCCAGAGCGGGGAACAGAACAGGCAGACTGATGAAATACACTGCTGAGGGGAGCAGCGGGCTGCAGGAGAGGTCTGCGCACCATGTGGGACCCTCGCTGGCGGCCGGGTATCGAACCAGCGCTGCAGAGGCTGGGGAAGCTTCACAGCCCAGCGTTCAACTGCTGCGCCACCAGGGAGGCCCTCCACTGGTTTTTGAAAGTACTTTACTTTATGAATAATCTGCTATGTACATGTCCAGTATTTGTTTCTTGTTTTTCATTCTTATTTTTTTTAAAGATTTATTTTATTTATTTATACATACAAGAACTGGGGTGTAGGTCAGAGGTGCAGGGGTGGAATCACCAGAGACAGAGTGGGGAGCAGAACAGGCAGACTGACTGAAATACACTGCTGAGGGGAGCAGTGGGTGAGACAGGAGAGGTCTGCTGTGCCACGTGGGTCAGCTACCTGGCTGGGGATTGAACTCAGGCCTTTGTGGTGATAGTGCTGAGACTTAACTCCTAGGCCACTAGGGAGGCCCCTCTTTTTTTAGTTCTGATTTGCTGTACACATTAGTTCTCTCAAACTTTTTCCATTTTGTTGAAAATGATTGCATTTTATTTAAATTATCTTTCTTTTTTTTTGCATTTTATCTTAATGCTTTGCAGTATTTATAGTGTTAAATAATCACATCTTCTTGATCCAGTCATCTGTTTAATAAAGATTTTAGACTGCTTTCATGTCTTAGCTATTGTGAGTAATGCTGTTATGAGCATTGGAACATAAATTTTGGCATCAGTGCATCACTTGGTATTTAGTTTGTTAAGTAAATCCAGATTACTTTCCATAATGGTTGTACCAGTTTACATTCCCACCAATCGTATAAGAGAGTTCCTCTTTTTCCTTTATCCTCTCTAGCATTTGTTGTTGGAGGTCTTTTTCTTTTCCTTTTTAAATATTTATTTATACATACAACAACTGGGGTGTAGGCCAGAGGTATGGGGGTTGAGAGGATTCACCAGAGACCGAGTGGGGAGCAGAAAAGGCGAATTTACTGAAATACGCTGCTGAGGGGAGCAGCGGGTGAGATGGGAGAAGTCTGAGTCATATGGGTTAGCTTCCTGGCTGGGAATTGAACCCCTGTACCATCAGGGAGGCCTTGGAGGTCTTTTTCATATACATAATTCTCAGGAATGTGAGATAGTATCTCTTGATGGTTTTAACCTATATATATCTTATTGAAAGCAAGGATGAGCATTTTTTCATGTCTATTGGCCTTATTGGCCTTTTGGATCCCCTTTGGTAAATTGTCTTTCACTTTATCAGTTGGGGTGTTTGCATTTTTGTTAAATTATGTGAGTTTTTTAAAAAAAAAATTACATGAGTTTTTTATATATCCTGGATATTAGCCCCTTATCAGTTCTATATTATATTATGTGACAACTTCCATTCAATTGGGTGTGTTTCTAATCTTATATTTTCTTTTGCTGTATAAAAGCTTTTCAACTTGTGGTAATCCCAATTGTTTATTTTGTTTTTATTTCCCTTGCCAAAGAGGTAGAGTCACCAAAAATCATCTTTATTGTTGATGTCGTGAAATGTGTCACCAATGTATGACCAATGTCATGGAATGTATCACCATTGTTTACTTCTAAATATTTTATTGTTACAGGTTATATCTAAATCTTTACTCCATTTGGAATTTATTTTTGTGTCTGAGTTTAGCGGGTGATCCAACTACATTCTTTCACATTTGGCTTTCCAATTTCCTGAAGTTGTCCTTTCCCCAATTCCCCTATTTCTATCTGATAGCTCTGGCCAAAACCTCTAATAGTAATTAAGAAGTGGTGACAATGGACATCCTTGTCTTGTTCCTGACCTTCAGTTATTTTGAAATCAAGGCCTAAGCATCATTTTAGTCACATACTTTTAAATGAAATATTACTTTGGTTTTGTGTATGGCAGACATAAGTGCAGCAATAGAGAGTAAGCATGTAGGATCTGTCATGGCAATTTGACATTGTGATATTTTTATTCTGTTCAACAAACATCTCTCCCCAATTGAGTGGGACAAGGTAAAACAAGCATTCTTCTACTGGGCAGCAGGAAATGAGTGTATTGTTCTTGATTAAACTCTCATGTCTGTTAATGTAATATACATTGTTTACCAAACTCACAAGGACAGCACAGTACTGAGTTGTTTTTATTTTTCGGTTCTGTTTTGAGTTCCAGTGATCATATAGTTGTAAGAAAAATAGCAGTGTTTGTTAAATGTTGAATCAGAAGATGAACAACTAACTAATAGCATTGTCACTGGTTTCAATTTCACCTTGTAATTTTGTTTAAGTTTTTTATTTGAGATGAGCATTCTAGTTTCTCAGTGCTCTTTCTTCAGATAAAGCACCTTTCTCCCTTTCTGTTTTTATTGCCTTAAAACCCTTTGCTCTCTTAGGTCTGTGGAAAGACTTTCATCTACAAGCATGGTCTAAAATTACACCAGAGTCTTCATCAATCGCAAAAGCAGTTCCAATGTGAACTGTGTGTTAAGTCATTTGTTACCAAAAGGAGTCTTCAAGAACATATGAGTATTCACACAGGTAATGAAAAATTTATACTGACATATATATTATGTGCTTAATTTATCATTATTGATTATGCTGTAATTATTTTTGAAATTATATTGATATACTAATGGCTATATGTTTACAGATTTTTTTATTGAAATTAAAAAATTTCCATAAATTGTTTAAATATTTAAATATTAGAACTATCTTATTTGTGTAAAAACAATTACTGTTTCCCTCATGTACAAAAATGTGTATTAACTCTAATACGTAAGTTAGATTCAGGCACCTAAAGAAATGGTCATGCTTTTTTTTTTTTTTTTTTACCTACTACCAACCAACTGGCACCCTCTACCTTCTCCCTCCCTCTACTTCCCCTCTGTGAACTCTGTTTACAGAGTTGATGGGTTTGTTTTTGTTTGCTTGCTTTATTTTCTTTATAATCCTCTCAACGTCCACTCATTGTCACAAATGCAAAACTTTTTTTTATGTATAATGTATGCTTTTTATTTTTATTTTTTTATATAAATTTTATTTTTATATTCCCCATATGGTCATGCTTTTTAAAAGTCAACCAATAAAAGATGTAGCTGTCAATATGTGACTTGTAATTTTATTAGAATTTTTGGTTTCCACATACTTATTTTCAGATGCTAGAGGCAGTTCTGTGAAATGGCTGATGAAGGGTTGATGTCAGCTCTAGAGTTTCTGTTCAACTCTAATGTTATCTAAATGATTATGCAAATATATCCCTTTTCTTGGCGAGTAGTCTTGTTAGTATACTACAGTTAAGAGGAAATAGAAATTTTGACATAGTTTGTTATTATTCCTTGAAGGTAGCTGTTACAGTTTATAGCTTACATATCCCCTTTATAAAATAACGTCAGAAATATGACAAATAAAACGTTCTTTTGGAAGATTATTTGATTGCTTGCTGGATTTATGACTCAGTTTTACTCTTTATAGGAAAGTCCATGTACCTTTGCTCAGTTTGTGGAAAGTCTTTTCATAGGGGTTCTGGGCTCAGTAAGCACTTAAAGAAACACCAGCCAAAGCCTGAGGTTCGAGGTTATCACTGTACTCAGTAAGTATTTAATTTGTTAACTATTCAGTTAATTTCCTGTAATTCTTTTTTTTTTTTTAATTTTTTTAATTTATTTATACATACAAGAACCGGTATACAGGCCGGATGTGCAGGAGGGTGAGAGGATTCACCAGAGACAGAGCAGGGAACAGAACAGGCAGACTGACTGAAATACACTGCTGAGGGGAGCAGCGGGAGAGACAGGAGAGGTCTGTTGCACCATGTGGGTAGCTCCGCAGCCTGCTGGAATCGAACCCACACTGCCAAGGCTGTGGACAGCTTCACATTGCTGCGCTCAACCACCTGCACCACTAGGGAGGCCTCATCCTTTAATTCTTACTTGGTTTATTTGAAAGTTGTTTTCAAAAGAAAGTATTTGAGGTGACTATAGTAGATAACACTATTGTAAAGTTGGATTTTACTAAGAGAGTAGAGCTTAAATCTTCGTATGGATACATAGTGATGTGTTAATTGACATAGAAGAAATCCTTTCAAAGAATATATTAATCATTATAAATCATCAAGATATAAATCATGGGCCTCCCCAGTGGCGCAGCGGTTGAGCGCTGGGTTGTGAAGCTGCCCGCAGCCTCTGCGGCTCCAGTTCGATCCCCGGCTGCTCCCCGGCCACCAGAGGAGGGTCCCACATGGCGCGCAGACCTCTCCTGCCACCCGCTGCTCCCCTCAGCAGTGTACGTCGGTCCTTCTGCCTGCTCTGCTCCCCGCTCTGGCTCTGGTGAATTCTCTCACCCTCCCGCGCTTCTGACTGTACCCAGTGCTTGTATAAACAAAACAAACAAATAAATAAATAAATAAATAAATAAATAAAACATGCCTATAAAAAAAAATTAAAAAAAAAAAAAAGATATAAATCATGACAAATCACAGTATGTACTTTATATTTCAGTTTTGTCGATTATATCAATAAAGCTGAAGAAAATATTTGAAAATATTAAACTGATATTTGTTTGCTCTTAATTTACTCTTAATTTTAATCAGAATTTTTTTGCCTGGCTGTTGCTGCTTATTATTTTTTAACCATTCATTTAATTATAAATTACTACACATCACTCATTTTAAATAATTTTAAGAGATTCTTCATTGTGCTACATGGCAATGGGAATTATAGGGAAAAAGAGTCCCTGGTTTCAGTAAGAGTTTTTTCCTAGGTAGTTCCTTTGAGGTGCTGGGACCTCTCCTTTCTTCAGATTCCTTTCTCCCATTTTTTCATATAACAAAGGCTCCTAAAGTATCTCTTTTGTAATTGAGGTAAAATTCTCATAACATAAAATTTATCATTTTAAAGTGTAAAATCTAGTGATGTTTAGAGTATTCACACAGTTGTGCCAGCATCACCACAGATTAAGAATGCCTTCAGTGGGCACCAGGCACTTTACTGCTCTTCGTGGCCTGGCCTTCCTGTTTGTGCAGAGTCAGCCAGAGGTGAGAGCTTTGAGCCTTCTCAGGTCTTTTCTGAGAATATGCTCAGCCCTGGGCAAATGTGTGAACTTCTAGATTCCTGAGAATATGAGAGTTTTTCAGAATCCATGTTACCCAAAATGTCTCATTCCCTAGCCTTTCAAGATTTTGGGTGTATATTGTTTACAACAAGCTATTATTCCTTGTGCCAGGTGACTGGCTAATACATTTACCTTTAAATATTTTCAACAAACTTCTTCCTTACCTCCCACCCCTATCCTCAGCCCTGGGGAAGTTAGGCAGTCTCTTTGAGGTGCTTCTTACAGTGTCAACAGATAGGTCTGAACAAACAAATGCATTCGTGTGAGAATAAGTCCCTCTGCTAGTAGAAACCCATAGCTGGAATATATTCTGTTGTCTTAACTATTGCTGGTGAGCTGAGCTCAGATGGGACTAGGAAAAGTTGAATGCCAGAAAACTCTTATTGAAATTCAATGACTTTTTTCCCCCTTGATTAAACATTTACCTGGTTGCTGTAAACTATTAGTTTCCAGAGTTTCAGTGAAGTTGATTATGACAGTTTCTGCCAATTTGTCTACTGCTTATGTGGAGTGAAAGACATTCCCTACTCTGCCATATTTTTTCATGTCATTCTAATCAGTTTTACTGTAAACCAATGAATCTATCAACAATACATTTTTAGTTGAAAGTGAAAGGAAACAACCCAAACTGACCTAATAAAAGGTAAAGTCTAGGTTTGAGTACTTTAAATTGGGTTCAGATTCATTTGTACTTGGTGTCTGTGAGGCTGCGTATGGACAAAGCAGTGACAAGACTGCTTTTCTTAGTAGTTGCTATTTTAAAGCCTTGAGGTTCACTACCTTTAGATCTGTTTATCTCTGACACAATCATGATAGCCAGAGGAATTCTATGCTCTGATTGACATAGGCCTGAGTCAGATGCTCCATTCTCTTTCAAGAGTGAGGTCTACTCCTAGCACATGGACAAAAAGTGAGAGAGGGTGGGGCCTCCCTGGTGGCACAAGGATTTAAGCACCGCACTATGAGGCAATCCACTGCTTCTGCAGCTTAGTTTGATCCCCAGCCAGCCAGAGAGCACCCCACATGGCAAAGCAGACCTCTCAGGTCTTGCCCACTGCTCCTCTCAGCAGTGTATTTCGTCAGTCTGCCTGTGCTATTCCCCCACTCTGTCTCTGGTGAATCCTCTCACCCCCCTGCATCTCTGGCCTGTACCCCAGATCTTGTATGCATAAATAAATAAATCTTTTTAAAAAATGCGAGAGGGTTAAGTGATAAAAAAGAATGAGATAAGAGGGAGTTAAGGGGAAGACAGAAGTAAATGTCCTGTGTAGTAATAACCTGTGGAAGCTCTGCATGATTCTTTCTAAAATTTCTCAAGCTCTACGCTGATTTGCGAAGCTGCCCGCAGCCTCTGCAGCGCCGGTTCGATCCCCGGCCACCTGGCGAGGGTCCCACATGGCACGCAGACCTCTCCTGCCGTCCGCTGCTCCCCTTAGCAGTGTACTTCATGAGTCTGCCTGCTCTGCTCTCCCCTCTGGCTCTGGTGAATTCTCTCACCCTCCCGTGCTTCTGACTGTACCCAGTGCTTGTATAAATAAATAAATAAATCTTAAAAAAAAATAATAAAATTTCTCAAGCTCTAAAGCTTAAATAACTCAAAAATGTGCCTTGATTGGAATACTAGGAAATTCTTTTGTTTTAAATTGGGATCATCTTGTGGAGTTCTACAAATTTAAGGATTTACTGAATTCTTATAAATGGGTTTTAAAAAAGTAGATGAGGACCTAGTTGGATGATTGCACTTTATTATTGCAGATGTGAAAAAAGTTTCTTTGAAGCCAGAGATCTTCGTCAGCACATGAACAAACATCTTGGTGTGAAGCCATTCCAGTGCCAATTTTGTGATAAGTGCTACAGTTGGAAGAAAGATTGGTATTCCCATGTGAAGTCTCATTCTGTCACTGAACCTTACAGGTGGGTAAATTTGAGGAGGGTCTGAAATTAAATGAGATATACTTGGATTAATTCTTATGGATACTGGTGCTTTGGAAAACAAAGTTTAGGGTTTTTTCTTTCATTTTAGGTGTAATATATGTGGCAAAGAATTTTATGAAAAAGCATTGTTTAGAAGGCATGTAAAGAAAGCCACCCATGGGAAAAAAGGAAGAGCAAAGCAAAACCTGGAACGAGTGTGTGAACAATGTGGAAGAAAGTTCACTCAGCTCAGAGAGTATAGGAGACACATGAACAACCATGAAGGTAATTAAACGTAGTTTTATATATGTAAAGTAAAAGCCAGTTCTGTGATGATTCTCTGTTTATCAGTCCTCTTGCCTGTTACCTAGATTCCCTTTCAGTGAGCTTGATATTCTACACCCGCATTTTTATGGTGAAATAGACTATGCGGGGCCTCCGTGGTGGCACAGGCAGTTGAGCACAGCGCTGTGAAGCTGTCCGCAGGCTCTGCAGTGCAGGTTCAATCCCTGCCAGCCGCAGAGATATCCACATGGCGGGACAGACCTCTCCTGTCTCGCCCGCTGCTCCCCTCAGCAGTATATTTCAGTCAGTCTGCCTGTTCTGTTCTGCACCCTGTCTCTGGTGAATCCTCTCACCCTCCCGCATATCTGGCCTGTACCCCGGTTCTTGTATAAATAAATAAATCTTTAAAAAAGAAAAGAAAAGAAATAGACTATGTGGAGCCTGTGTTTCCTCATCCTATTATTACGGGGTTGCTATAAATGTTAAATGAGAGTATGCATAGAAAATGAAATTTGTCTCAGTAATTTCTATCCACGGGAACATCTTTTGAAAGATTATAGTGCAGAATCTTGTTATTCTAAAATAAACCATTGGTCCTAAATAAAAGATTGCCATAGTCATGCTAGAAAGGCCTGTGGACTACTGTACTTGAAAAGCATTATCAGGCAACTTGAATATATTTTGATGCACCTCAACATACCTCTCTTCTTTGTCACCTTTTTTTTTTTAATAGGAGTTAAGCCATTTGAGTGCTTAACATGTGGAGTAGGTTGGGCTGATGCCCGATCTCTGAAACGTCACGTCAGAACACATACTGGTGAACGACCTTATGTCTGCCCAGTATGTAGTGAAGCCTACATAGATGCTCGAACACTCCGTAAACACATGACTAAATTCCACAGAGATTATGTGCCTTGCAAAATTATGCTGGAAAAAGATACACTTCGGTTTCATAATGAAGGAACTCAAGTGGAGCATGCTGTTAGCATCTTAACAGCAGACATGCAGGAACAAGAAAGCAGTGGTCCTCAAGAAATTGAGGCTGTGGTAGTGACAGGGGAAACTATGGAAGCGCTTGAAGCTGTTGCAGCTACTGAAGAGTGTCCTTCGGTATCTACGCTTTCTGACCAAAGTATTATGCAAGTGGTTAATTATGTATTGGCACAACAGCAAGGACAAAAGCTATCTGAAGTTGCAGAAGCAATTCAAACTGTTGAAGTAGAGGTGGCACATATTTCAGAAGCAGAATGAATATAGGAATGGAGATAAAAAGTGACATCTCATGTATACTGAACTTATAGTGCATTTGTTTACAATACTGTGTGACTATCTTCCTAGAGTTTGTATGTCAAGGCTCTGGGCTATTTGGTGATGCTCAACATTTCTGAAAGGTTTGTCTGGTTAATGGGTTCTATAGAAAAGTCCCTTTCCTGTAAAGAACTCGAAAACATTTGATGGCAGTCGTTTATCATGGTATACTTTTTATGAATTAATGTTTATAAGGGACTGTGCTAAATTAAAAACTGTACAGTTTCATTTGCATTTTGACATTTATTTTGAGTTTGAAAGGCTGCACCATTTGACTTTTTTCCTTTATTCTCAAAATATAGGAGTTCTATGATTTCATTTGCCCTGTTTATGGATTTACAAAAAATCTAACATAAAGCATTTTAGTAGGATGCATAGGTATATAACATTTTTTGATGTCTATAATCTGTGATTCTTGACTATTTATTTTAACCCCTTGTAAGTCAGGGATTCTTTATTCTGTTTTAAAGCACTTAATGAGTTACATGTTGTAATCAAGTTTGCACAGTATACTTACCTACATAGGGAACCCTTAAACAAGTAGCTGATTTTTAAAATGCCATTAAAATGCATGAAATGCCTATTAAAGCCTTATTATACTATCTCTTCAAGGCAAGTAAATTGACCATGAGCAGAGAATACTGTCATTAAACACTTGTTGGGAGATTTCTCCATGATAACCTAGAACAATAAAAAAAAATAAAAGACTCATTCTATTGCATTAAAACCAGGTTTAGTATGTTTGCAGCTTTTGTATCATGTTTACTTGTTAAATTTTGTTGAAAAACTGCAGTTTAGAAATAGGTAGTGAGATAGACATCTACAGTCCTGTGGATACCATGATTGTCAAGTAATTTCAGAATATTGAAAAGTCTTCAGCCCTTATTATATTATACTACCTAAAGAAATTGATTATGGTCCATCAAATTGTTGAAAGTAAATTATTTTCAAAAGTTACCTGAAAATTAAATTACTAATTTGTGTGTTTGATTTTTAAATTCCTCTTTAAGATAGCCAAGTCTCAATTTTCAAAGTAACCATGAGGAGATGCCATGTTTTTCTCCTGGGAAACCACCACGTAAGCTGTAATTGTTAAAATTTAACTTTTAAGTATTAGAAGCTATTATAAGGTGTAAATTAAGATATAAGCCAATCATATATGTAAATCATTCCTAAAGCACAAGAAAAGAATGTGCCTTGATGTACATATATTAAGATACTTATTTCAGTTTACTTTAAAAAGGCTTAAAAGATAAAGAATAAATGTGATGCCATGCATGCATTATACCTACATATGTAATATTTACATTTACAAATTTCTCATTGTTTCAATAGCTGTGTGGCTTTCAGTTTTGAGTGGATTGACATGCAGTCTATAATGGCTGCTTGTTTGTAGTATCTTTCAGTTAGTGGAATTGTATTTCAACATGACTAAAATTTGAAATTGTGCCTTTTATGTTCGTTCTCACCATTGTTTTTAGATTTAATTAGTTGTAAAAGACCGTTAATGTTTGTCATAAATATGTAAATAAAAGATGTTGAATATTGTTTAAAACCCGAAGCTTTGGAGTTGAGCGTGTCACTATCTCCAACTCATAAATCAGTTGCTTTTATTTGATACCTTCATCCATTTTGAAAGGAGTTGAACATTTTTCAAATAACATTGTACGGGGTCTCCCTGGTGGCAGAAGGGGGTAAGCACAGCATTGTGAAGCTGTCCACAGCCCCTGCACCACGAGTTTGATCTCCAGCCAGCCAGGGAGATACCCACATGGCACAGCAAACCTCTACTGTCTCACCCGCTGCCCCCCTTAGCAGTATATTTTAGTCAGTCTGTTCTGTTCCCCACCCTGTCTCTGGTGAATCCCCTCTCAAACACACATACACACACACACCCGCACCTCTGGCCTGTACCCCAGTTCATGTATGCATAAATAAATAAATCTTTAAAAAAAAACTAAAATAATATTGTGGGAACACATAATCATATTAAAACTTCTTAGTCTCCAACATAACTAATAGTTGTATGATTAACTGCCTTCTTTAGATATTTAAATTGTTGAATTACATAAATTATATATAAGCAAGTATTAATAATGGTTCCAAAATTTCATAGTTGTTTTTTTTTTTTAAGATTTATTTATTTATACAAGCACTGGGTACAGTCAGAAGCGCAGGAGGGTGAGAGAACTCACCAGAGCCAGAGCGGAGAGCAGAACAGGCAGAGTGACGAAATACACTGCTGAGGGGAGCAGTGGGTAGCAGGAGAGATCTGCGTGCCATGTGGGACCCTCGCCCAGGGGCTGGGAATCAAACCGGCGCTGCAGAGGCTGCGGGCAGCTTCGCAGCCCAGCGTTCAACCACAGCACCACCAGGGGAGGCCCCCAAAATTTCATTGTTTTTAATATACCCATGGGGAGAAACTTTTACATTAATATGTAAGAATTCCTCTTTTAGGAAAAGCAAATGGCCAATGGGCATATGATAAAATGTCCATCACTTATAATCAGGGAAATGCAAATCAAAACCACAATGAGCTACCAACTTACACCAGTGGGAATGGCATAGATTAAAAAAAACAGGCAACAACAAATGTTGGCGAGGATGTGGAGAAAAAGGAACTCTCCTACACTGCTGGTGGGAATGCAGACTGGTCCAACCATTATGGAAAGCTGTGTGGAGGTTTCTTAGACTACTGAAAATGGAATACTGTATGATCCAGCAATTCTGCTTCTAGGAGTCTACCCAAAGGACACCTGCACCCCTATGTTTATTGCAGCACTTTTTACAATAGGTAAGATATGGAAGCAACCCAAATGCCCAAAAATAGATGACTGGATCAAGAAAATGTAGTATATATACACAATGGAGTACTACTCAGCAATCAAAAAAGATACTCATGGGCTTCCCTGGTGGCGCAGGCAGTTGAGCGCCGCAATGTGAAGCTGTCCACAGCCTCTGCAGTGTGGGCTTGATCCTGGCCGGCAGGTGAGAATCCCACTGGGCACAGCAAACCTCTCCTGTCGCGCCTGCTGCTCCCCTCAGTGTATTTCATCAGTCTGTCTGTTCTGTTCCCCGCCCTGTCTCTGGTGAATCCTCTCACCCTCACGTGCATCTGGCCTGTACCCCAGTTCTTATAAATCTTTAAAAAAAGAAAAGATACTCATGTCATTCGCAGCAACATGAATGGAGCTAGAAGAGACTATGCTTAGTAAAATAAGCCAGAAGGAAAACAAAATACATGGTTTCACTTATAGGAGGAATATAGAGGAACCAAATAAGGGATCAGGAAAATAAAAAATAATAAAAACAAAATTAACAGGCAACTATAAATCAGACATTCTGCAAGGGGTGAGGGAGGTAGTGGGATCAAAACAGGAGAGAAGAACACAAGGGACCATGGTGATGGTTCATGGGTAAATTGGTGGTGGGAATTTTATGGGGACTCCACCTGAAATGAGAAAGCATACCAGCATACACTGTACATAAATGAAAAATGATGTAAAAAATATATATATACATATAATTTTTTTAAAAACTAGGCATTGTTGTGTTGTTGATGTTGTCACATGATTTTCCCCAAAATGTGTTGGGTACTCCCTGCTTAAGTTTCTTGTTATTGCTGCTTCTGATAAGCGATTTGAGTTGTTGTTGGTCACAGGGTGTGTATAACCTATAGAAGTGAATTAACGAATCTTCTAATGTGTGTGTGAATCTATTTTAGTCGAAGTCAGTGACTATTTAATTTCACAATACCTACTCTCGTTTGCTTAATTATAAACCAAATACTTTATTTCTTTTACTTTTTGATATTTTTCCAGTTTTATGAAAAATTTTTAATAGCATTGGTAAACTGCATAATGTTCATTGCTCATAGTTCTTTTTAAACCTGTAGTCTGCTTGGAGGTTCCTAGACAAGGATTTTATATCTAATGTTTAGTTCTCACACAATGAAAGCCTTTGACCCATCCTGACCCTATAAATGTATAAAGCTATCAGTTATAGCTTGTAGAAGCTTGTGGAATGCAAAAGAATTTTAATCTAAAAATGGAACGAGGGGGTATAATATTAAAAAATCTCACACCTGTGCCTTTAGGAAAATAATAAACCTGAAGACCAAGAAGTGATTTCCGATAAATGCCTGATTCATAGACATTAATTAAAAAAGTGACTGCAAGGTTAGTCTTGTGAACTAGACTAAGTTGAGCTTTGTTTGTGTCACTGAGCTAATTGTGTCTGCTTCAGGAATTTCCAAAGCTGGTTTTCATTAGTTCTTGATTTTAACAGATTCTAACTGAATTCTTTCTTTCTATTCACTGCCTATAAATACAGCCTACTCTAGGCTCTGTACAGACTTGCCTGTAGCTTCAAGTAGAAAGGAGCAAAGTACATAGGTAATCTCTAGTTCAATAATTTTAAATATACCATACTTATTTTATGGCCTATTAGCTGAAGTTTTGAAATTTAATACTGCTCTTTACTGTTTTTCCTGAGGAGTTTTATAAATTTTAGAGTATGAGCTCATTGCCAGTAGAATTTTTCTTTGGGAGTCTGATAAACAACTAATCGTGCCATATGAGTGCTTAATGCGTGGAGCGGGTTGGGCTGATGCCCAATCCCTAAAACACCGTGTATAAGTAAAGCTATTGTTAGATTTATTCCTAGGTATATTTTATACAGCAGTATTTAAAAGTTTTTATTGTTGGTATATGTAAATACAAAACACTTCTGTATACATTTAGGGGACTTTTTTTTCCTTAGGGAACATTCTTCATCTGATAAAAGATTTCTATAAAAACAACAAAACATTATAAAGGTTGAAATGCTTAAAATTTTCTAAGAATGTAAGACCTTTTTTTTTTTTTTTTTGCAAGAAGAACTGGGGTGTAGGCCAGAGAAAGGGAGGTGAGAGGATTTACCAGAGCCAGACTGAGGAGCAGAACAGGTGGATTTTTACTGAAATACACTGCTAAGGGGAGCAGCAGGCAAGACAGGAGAGGTCTACTGTGCCATATGTGGTTTAGCTCCCTGGCTGGGATCGAACGTAGGTAGGTCGCAGGGGTGATAGCGCTGAGACTTAACCCCTTTGCACCAGGGAGGCCCAAGGACGTAAGACCCTTTACCCAACAACCTTGCTAAATTCCCTTTTTAAATAGTTTGGATTATCTATATACTCTATTATGTCATTTATAATTACAAAGCTTTATTCTCCTGTTCGAGTGCTACTTTGTTTTGGCACTCTTGCATAGGACCTCTATTACAGCGTTAATTGTTGGCATCCTTGTCTTTTCTCCCAATCCTAGAATGAAAATTTGAGATTCACATGGTGGGTGAGGTTGGATAGCTTCAGGGTGGGTCAGTGAGGTATGAAATGAGCCTGGAAAATCTTGTCGTAAGTCAAGAAATACTCAAAGAATGATGGAGACATGTTGAGAGGGCACAATTTTCTTGAAGAAACTCTGGTGGCCAAATGGTGGCAAATTGAGTGAGCACTATAATATACACTGCTGAATAAAATAGGACACCAAAAGTCCACTGTCAGGGTCCCTAAAACCATCCCCAGGTTCAGTACTTCACTAGAATAACTCATAAGACTCAGCAAACAGTTATATTCATGGGTATGATTTATTAAGAAAGGATATAAAACAAAGGGCAAAGTCATGTAGGGCAAAGTCCAGGAAAAACATGCAAGTAATTTCCAAGAACCCCAAATTCCTCAAGCAATGAGTTGTGATACCATATTAAGTGTTACCTATTAGGGGAGGGTTATAAGAAGTTCAGCGTCCACCATTTTATTGGTGCTGAACAGGCACTATCTGCAAACATTCCAAAATTCCAGGCTACCAGAAGAAAAGCAAATGTTCAGCAGAAACCACATTGTAAAAGGAGTTTAGACACAATGAGCCTCACACTTTGGAAAGGCTTTATATCAGCATAGGAACTGTTTATGAAGTTTCCAGAAACTGGCCAGAGGCCAAACTGGGAAGCAGGCCATTTCAAGGATGGCTGTTCAGACTTATATTAACTCTTCTCATCCACTAATATGAACAAATGAACAAATCAAAAATTTGAGGGCCTCCCCGGTGGCGCAGCGGTTGAGCGCTGGGTTGCAAAGCTGCCCGCAGCCTCTGTAGCGCCGGTTCGATCCCTGGCTGCTCTCCGGTCACCAGAGGAGGGTCCCACATGGCGCGCAGACCTCTCCTGCCACCCGCTGCTCCCCTCAGCAGTGTACTTCGGTCCTTCTGCCTGCTCTGCTCCCCGCTCTGGCTCTGGTGAATTCTCTCACCCTCCCATGCTTCTGACTGTACCCAGTGCTTGTATGTATGTATAAATAAATAAATAAATCTTTAAAAAAAAAATTTGATAAGGAACAGGATATTTCCATAATTTCTCCATAAGACTTACAAAGGTGAAAAAAAAAAGAACTTCACTGTGCAGAAGCCTAACAGTTCCCACCTTGTCATTAGTGATCCTCAGTAAAAAGACAAGTGGACAAGTCAGAATTCTGTGTCACTTGAAATATGTAGGATGCAGTTCGAACACAGTATCACTTA